CATCCAGAAATTAAGCTGAGTTAGGTCATAACACAGCCCTTAAAAATGTCCAAGTGACCTCTTGCCACTGTGTAATGAGAGAATTTGGAAAGGAAGGTGAAGGAGAAATATTCAAAGAAAAGTCATCCAAGGAAGGAAGAAATTCTATTGGTCATACAAACCTGTTTTATCAGTTTTGCAAGCTTGTCATTTATTTTTCTTTTCTTTTCTTTTTTTAAATTTTGGAGAAGCTCTGAATAACAGGAAAAAGCATTTGGCTTCCAAATAGGGCCATTAAACTGGTGTTGCTGCTGCCCTGATTCCAACGGCCTAATCCTTTCCCCAGAGCTAGAGTGCCAGGGCTCCCAGGGGCTCAAGATGGAGCTTGCCTTCACCCTCTCCTCCCCACTGCTGCTGTCACAGTGTGTCCTCTGGCTGCAGGGCTGCTCTGGGCCCTGACTGCCTGCAGACTGCTTCCCCAGAAGAGATGTTAATTACACACCCAGCCACGCCCCTCTTCAGAGGCAGGACTAGCCACATGCAGCTGCCACTTGTTTTCAAGAGCTGCAGCAATCTGGTTTTCGAACTGGGCAAAAGTGCCGGAATGGGCCCATGGCCACATTCACTGGGGGGGCCCTGCCCCAGCTGCAAAACTGGGTCCCAAGAATGAGGCTCCTGGCCACTAAGGCCACTAAGACTAGGCAAGCTACTCTGCTGGTGCCAGCCTTCTGCTCCCGAGAAAGAAGCAGGTAATATTTTAAAATCCCTATGAGCAGAATTTCTTGACATTTTGTCTTCATTATAGTAACCTTAAGGTGGCTCTCCATTTTTCAGAAAGACACAGGAAATGCAGCTACTTCTGATGAGTTCGACTGCATTGACAAAGAATGGACTCATTCAGAAAAAACAATCTAACAGGGCCCACAACCTATAGATGGTTGCCTACTGGATAGGGTTTGAAAAATTATACTGAAAACCCACAGTCTTGGTATGTTTTTGCCCAGCAAGATGCTTGGAATTCTGACCAATAAGGAGGCCATATTTTGCATAAAACTTTGATTCTCTTGATTGCCCCCTTTTAAAATTCAAATGGTAACTATATATAACATTTCAAGGAACTCCTAGATATGTTATCTTGCTGGAACCTACTTAATATGCCAGGGAGGGACATAATTCATTAAACGATTATTGTCTATTAACATCCTAATTTTAATTAGTTTTCCACAGATGAGAAAAACAAGCCCTGAGAGAATGAGACCTGGAAAGTGGCACATCTGGATTGAAGGGGAGGTGAGAACCCACTGGAAACACAACCAGGGTGGAGCCAGTGAGGCTCTGTGGTCCCACAGACACCTCTGAACTGACACCTGCACCCATACAGGTGCTGAGGGAGAGCTAAGGAGCCACAGACAGGAAGGACAGAAGTCACAAAGACAAACTTCACCCACTCATGCTTTTACCTGGGCCTGACCTGGAAGTCCTAATTAAAAGACCCCGGACTTCCAGATAGACTCATCCCAACGCTGGGAACGCACACATGCTATTTCTTGAAAGAACAACTTGGCTGTCCCCCAGAGCAGAGTGCCTGGTGTGTACACTGGGATTCCTTTCAATAATTAGAATCCTCTGCTTATGCCAGATATTAATCGGGAACAAAACGAAGCTTTAGTTTTGAAACATCCCTTCTCACTCATTAGCACAATCCTTTAATAATGCACCTTGGAGGCCCTGAGTAATTCTTCTAGTTTGCTGCCCCACAGCATGTCTGGGTTCCAAGGATTTGCTTGGAAGGTGCTGGATACCCTATCCTAGCTGGAGCTGGGAGTGTCCAGAAGCAGCCTCTTTCTTTACCTCTGAGCTTCTGTTGCTGTGTTCCCTTAGCCTCCCAGCCTCATCCTGCCCTTGGACTTGGTGGCCAGGTGGCACCCTCTCTTTGGCCCTTACTATCCTTATCTGTCAAGTGAATGGTTTTGATTTCACTGGTTTTCATGCCTAGCTGCACATTAGACTCACCTGGGGAACTTTGAAACCCAATGCCAGGGCTGCACACCCAGGTATTCTGATTTAATTGGTCCAGGGTGGGCCCTGGGCATTGTTTTTTAAACTTTTTTTATTTTATTTTTTTGAGACAGAGTCTTGCTCTGTCATCCAGGCGGGAGTGCAGTGGCATGATCTCTGCTCACTACAACCTCCGCCTCCCAGGTTCAAATGATTTTCCTGCCTCAGCCTCCCAAGAAGCTGGGATTACAGGCACTCACCACAATGCCCAGGCTAATTTTTGTGTTTTAGTAAAGATGGGGTTTTACCATGTTGGTCAAGCTGGTCTCGAACTCCTGACCTCAGGTGATCCACCCGCCTCAGCCTCCCAAAGTGCTGGGGTTACAGGCATGAGCCACTGTGCCCTGCCCCAGTGATTGACTTTTTTTTGTTTTTAAGTTCTCCATGCCCCACAACCACTAGGTTAAATTATCTCCAGGGACCCTCCCAGTTCTAATAAAGTCTATGATCCTTACTCTCTGGTCTCTGTGCTTTATTGAATTTATCTTTTCTCCATAAATACTCATCTTTTATGTTCAGCATGTTACATAGGCTGATTTTTAGATATGCTTTTACTCATTTAAAAATCATATCGTTGGTTAGGCGCAGTGGCTCACACCTGTAATCCCAGCACTTTGGGAGGCCGAGACAGGCAGATTGCTTGAGCTCAGGAGTTTGGGACCAGCCTGGGCAACATGGCGAAACCCCATCTCTACAGCGGGGCGTGGTGGCACAAGTCTGTGGTCCCAGCTACTCAAGAGGCTGAGGTGGGAGGATTGCTTGAGCCTGGGAGGCAGAGGCTGCAGTGAGCCGAGATCGTGTTACTGCACTCCAGTCTGGGTGACAGAGTGAGATCCTATCTCAAAAAAATAAAACTAATGTTGTTAAAGTATTGTTTGTTGGGGGTAATCAGCTATAATACTGAACGTTTGAAGTATACAATTTGATTAATCTTCCCATATAAGAAATGGTCACAGTCATAATAATGAACATATCCATCACCCTCAAAAGTTTCCTGTGTCCCTTGGGAATCCCCCCAAACATTTTTTCTCCTGCCCCTACCTTCCCAAGTAACCCATGGGATCTTTCCTTCCTCTTTTCCTTCTTCCTTCCTTCCTTCCTTCCTCCTTCCTTCCTTCCTTCCTTCCTTCCCCTTCCTTCCTTCCTTCCTTCCTTCCTTCTGTTTCTTCTATTTTTGACAGAGTCTTGCCTCGTCCACCCAGGCTGGAGTGGCAGTGGTGGCAATCTCAGCTCACTGCAACCTCTTGCCTCCCGGGTTCAAGCCAATTGTCCCTGTCTCAGGCCTGGGCCGAGTAGCTGAGATTACGGGTGCCCATCACCACGCCCGGCTAATTATTGTATTTTTAGTAGAGATGGGGTTTCACCATGTTGGCCAGGCTGGTCTCAAACTCCTGACCTCAAGTGATCCACTTGCTCGGCCTCCCAAAGTGCTGGGATTACAGGCATGGGCCACCACGCCCAGCCACTTTCTTTTGCTGTAGATTAGTTTGCATTTTCTATCATTTTATACAAATGTAATCACTCAACACATCCTATTTTGTGCCTGGACATAACTTCGAATTATCTCCCTGGACTTTAGATTTCAAGCTCTTTGAAAACAAGATCACTTTTTCTTTTCTCTTCCTCTTGGCCCTCACCTTATCTTTGCTAAGATACAGCCCTTAATCATTATTTGCTTGATTGGCATAAGACCTTCATGAACTTAAAACCAAGTTTCAGTTTGGTGGCCAAGAAGTGCCTGCCACGTTGAAGGTTTTTAACTCACCACCACTTCTGGAGAGGTTCCTCAGTTGGCAGCTTCAGCCCAGTAAATAAATAAATAAATAAATAAATAAGCACATGAGCTTAATTTAGAGTCCGTGGACTTCCAGGAGTCCAGAAAGTGAGAGTCAAGGTGTGGGTTGGGGAGTGGGGTGGAGGGGGAGGCTCAGGATGCGGGGAATGAATACCTGAGAAAGGTCCTTGGCTTTCACCAGATTCTTGACACAAAGGGATAGACTATGGAATTAATGCCCTGCTCTATTCCTTATAATTTCCTATCTGCTTTTTATGAATCTGATGTCTAATTATAAATCCTTTACTCCTTCCCTTCTCCCTTCCCACCTCCCCAGCACCTTTGTTTTGTTCTCTGCCTGCCCTGGTTATACTTAACCCTACTTAACTAAACACACTACAGGGCCCTGTCCAGTGGCAGTGCCACTTCATGGGAACTGTTTGCATTCTGCTTCTCTTTAAGAGCTTCTCATCTGAACTATGTGACAGACTGTACCTTTTTATTCAATGATTCTTATTCCACTTTACTTAACAGTTTACCCTGAATACTTGGATGCCACTCATATATCACAAATCTATATTTTCTCTAGACCCCAGAGCCTGGGATTCCTTTTCATCTCACCAAAAACAAAACAAAACAAAACAAAACAATGCTTTTGTTGTTATAAATAAGTATTATGAGAACCAGAAGTAACAATAAACTGCAAATTCAAAATCAAGCCACTTCTCCATCCAGAGACACCTCCCTCACTTCCCCTCGTCAAACAGAAAACGTATTTTAAAATGATACTATGTCTGATTTTTGATAAAAGTCTGGGATGTAGAATAACAATAATCTGCTCCTAAATGAGAAAATCATAGGCATCTGACAAGTGCTGGTTTCAAAGTTATCTTTCCAAAATAGAAGCGAGCAAGAAAAACATCTCACCTGCTGGCCAAAAGACCAACACCAACTCCCCTTCCTCCAAATTCCCCTTGACCCCGTGCAGTTTTGTTTGTAAGGGACTGATGTCTTACACTCAGCAGCATTTCCTGGCTTCTGCTCGGGGGTAAGTTTTCCATTCCTATTCTCCCTTTCACCTCTACCGTTTTCCAACAGAAGAGCAAATACGGTAACGATAGCATTTTGGTCTAGTTCCTACACAAACTCATTCCTCTGCATAAAAGGCAGACCTTTGAAATGTACTTACGTGGAAGAGGCAAAGGCAAGCCCTGGGTTTGGAAGCAGTGTTTGCTGATGCCAGCCTGCTTAAATAGCTGGGCTGGCTGACGCAGGCTGCTGATAGCACGTTTATTTATGCCTGTGAGCGCACACTCCAGCAAGGACCTGAAAAACCTGCAGCGTGGGCAGGAGGAAAACCACTGAAAGTATGCTGAAGTTACGTCTCTCCTGGTTATTCAGGTTTGATGTTCAGGCTGGGACTTCTGAGAGTTTCATGGAACTTTCTCGTCACTATCTTCTCGTCCCTGACCTTTCTCCTAGCCAAGCAAACTTCTTCACCAAGATCGGATAAGAGAGATGTGGCTGAGAGAAGACTGGGAAGAGAAAAGAGACCCTGAGTCTTTTCACCCACTTCCTTACTTTGAGCGGGTTTCCAGTTGGATGTTGCCTCATTTCAAAGCGTAGATCTGGTGCGGTTGATTTCACAGCTCTGTGGGCTGGATGCCAGGCTAAGAGCCTGGACAATTGCCCAATTAATGAAAGGTTGTTTTCTTTTGGGCACAGAATGTACAAATAAAGAACAGTTAAAAGGGAGAGATTCAGGACTAGGATGATACAATTTTAGGTCTCCCTCAAAAACTATTCTCATTTATTTCCCCTGCATCTGTACTTTCCTCTTACCATCCCCTCCCCTTCGTTAATGAAATTCCTGTCTAAGAGGTGAAAGATTCCCCACGGGCTTGCAAATAAAAAGCCAGTGTGGGAGCAATCTGTGGGAAGATGCATGCAGAGTGTGATGGAGAGTTCAGGGGCTTGTGTGACAATCCGTGCAAATGTTTCTAAAGGTGAGGGTATGTGTGTGGGTGTGAGGACCTGGCTGTTGGATGTTTATGTATTTTATTAGCTAGATACGGGAACTAATACTCAATTGCAGTGCACTAAACACATTATTAGGTGGGTATGATTTTGAGGGAATGAGGGAAGGGAGACAAGGTCTGGTGAGATCATCTGTGGGTGTATCTGTGTGTATTTGCTGGTTCATAGCACAAACCAGTAAGTGCCATCCGGAGAGCCACGCCCTGTATTTTTCACTTCACGGGAGAAACAGAAAGCCCACTGGAGTCTCTTGGGAACAGTAGCCATAAGTGAAAGAAGAGCAGCGCTCATTCAGAATATTTCTCTCTCTCGGAAAAGGGGGTGACGGGAAACATGTGTGGGGAAGAGTAGAGACAGTGGGTCCAGGTTAACCCAACCTTGGTTACCAGAGGAATTCTTTTGTCTCCTGCCTAATTCATTACCTAAATTCTGACCGTTCTGTGGCCAAATCTGGATTCTTGCTGCCACAATTTTTTGAATGGGCAGGGTCTATGTCTTGTTTATCATTTGATATCCACAGCATTATTATTGTTATTATTATTGTTGTTGTTGTTGCACAAATTATTATTATGACAGCACAAATTATGATGATGATGACAATGGTCATGATCCATAATCTAGTAAGACTGATTGTGTGTCAGGCTCCATGTAAGGCACTGTACAGAGAGTTTGTTTGCTTATTTAATGTGTAATCCTCACAACAACCCTATGAGGTTTTTTTTGTTTTTTGTTTTTCACCCAGGTTGGAGTGCAGTGACACGGTCTTGACTCACTGCAGCCTTGACCTCCCGGACTGAGGTGATTCTCCCACCTCAGCCTCCCGAGTAGCTGGGACCACAGGCACACACCACCACACGTGGCTAATTTTTTGTATTTTTTGTAAAGATAGTGTTACCCCATATTGCCCAGGCTGGTCTCAAACTTCTGAGCTCAAGAGATCCTCCTGCCTCAGCCTCCCAAAGTGCTGGGATTACAGCCTTGAGCCACCAGGCCTGGCTGAGTTAGTTTTTTATTATTGTTATTTTACAGATGAGGAAACAGATAGTCAGAAAAACTAAATAACTTTCCCAAGGTCACAGTGAATGGTGGAGGTGGAATTTGAATCCAGTTCTATCTGATTCCAAAGTCAGGGTTTCACTCAGGACTGGCTTGAACCAATACTTAGAAAGTTGCCTAAGAGTGTTTTCACCTATCTTTAATTGTGTTTTTGTTTATCATCTGTCTTCCAGAATGTGATTTCCGTGACAACAATGACCTTTCTGCATTGTCTACTCCTGTGATCCAGCACAGTGCCTGGCTCTTGGTAGGTGCTCAATAAATATGTGCCATTTGTTCAGTTTCTAAATTCCTATGGAGGCAGTACAGCCCAACAGATAGAGGTCCTGGCATCAACAGAGTCTCATCCTGGTTCAGATGAGACATTTCTTTTTCTCTTGCATAATGTGTCAACTTCAAGCTATTTCTCTTTATCCAGTGTATCATGGAGATTAAACCAAAAGTAGTTGAAACCATGAAGCAGTTTTTACATCGCTTAACTCTGCAGGTGTATGGTTCCAGTTGTTTGGGGGTGCAGTGATGAAATCAAGACCTCCAGCTTTTTCTGTCTTTCATTTTGTAGCTCTCAGTGTGACAGCATTGTCTCTCCTCAGGGTGGTAAGATGGTTGCAGTAGCTCCTTTCATCATATCTTTAAGCAAAATATCCAAAGATGGGTAAAAAGTGGCCCAGGATTTCTTTCTCCTAAGTGTCTTTCTTCGTTGGAGAGGAAAATCTTTTCAGAAGTCACTAGGAGTCTTTCACTTATGTCTCCTTGCTGAGCACTGGGTTATGTTAGCCGACACATTGGCTAAATCCATCATGTGCAAAGAGGAAAGGGATCAGGCTGATCATGGCTCCTCTCTTGGGCCTAAGGGAAGAATCCACCTTCTCTAGACAAATTGCTCTGATAATCTGAACAAAATCAAGATTCATTTATTAGTGAAGAAGCAGAAAAGTGCTACCCACAGTTTTGCCAATCTAAGAGATCCTTTAAAATACAATAACCTGAACTGCTTTCATGCTTGGGCACCAGTCCAGCCATGGCAATTGGGTTTTACTATATCAGTTCTCTCTTTCTATGCTTTTTTTTTTTTCTTCCCCAGTGAGATAAGGTTGCTTTGGCTCTAGGTAAAATTATGAGTATTTCAACAGCCTGCAAATAAGGGAGGTAGCTGGCCACTAATTTTTTTCCTGCAGGTTTAGATCCTAGGTCTTTATATCACCACTGATTTCCAGGGACTATGACACAATCTGTCAGCCTCTTGTCTTCTCCTGTGCCAGATGGGATTGGATGATGCTGTTGATTTCTTAGAGAAGTTGGGTCCAATACCACAACTAATTATAAAAAAATGACTCATTTTCCTGCTCCTCCTGTTGTCTATTATATTTCAGTGGAATTCCAGAATCCCACATGTTTGCCTCTGCCTCTGCCTGAGAGCTCCAGCTACTGCCTGGGTTATGTAAACTAAAGACATATGGCTGAGATGGTAATTCTCACATAGATCTTTTTCTCCTGGTGAGTAACAAACTTCAAATTACCACCCACAGTAAGTGTTATTTTTCTTCTATTTGCTGTTCTAAACCTTTTCCTTGCCACAGGTTTTGGGAACTCTTTTCTTCATTGTCTCAAATCAAGAGAATTAGGAGGGAGAATGGGGTCATGAGATGTTCCTTCACAAGACAGGAACAATGCCTGGGGGCGGGAAAGTGGCTCAGTAAGTGTTTACTGTGACTGGACAAATGGTGGAATGGAAAGAGTGTGGGCTTCTCAATCCTGCAGACTTGCATGAAGTCCCACTACTTCTGCTTACCACCAATTTGATCAAGGGTAACTTATATAACTTCTCTCTGTTTCCTCATCTGTAATATGGGACCGATGAGAATTATCTCACAAGTTCATTGTCAAGACTAGAGATAAGATATGTAAAGCACTTAGCATAATACCCAGAACATAGTAGGTGCTCCACAAATGGGTAGCTACTGCTAATAGTTACAAGAAGCAGCTGGATTTTCCTATCCTTGGTCATCTTTGTGGAACCCATGCAAAATAGTTAAACCCAAAACCTCCAGGTGCCACAGCAAACAGGGCATTGGTAGAGCCACATATAATGCAGGGATGTCTGGATAGTGGGGCGGCTATTCTCTTCCTACCAAAAGCTAGAGGTTGTTGAAGTGCAGGAAGTTGATTTATGGATAGGGAGTATGTGGACCCGAGAAATGATGCAAAGAGAGAAAAGCCATTCCTTGGGGAACATAAAACTACCACGGACATTTCAGTCAATTCACAGTGAAGACTCTAAGCCTCCCAAGGGCCCAAATCTGACCTGTACAGAAACAAATGAGGAAGAGGGAGTAGCCAGAGGATAGAGGTGAGCTTGCTGAGAATTCTGCCCCCAAGTTTGGAGCTTGCAAACAGAGAGGCCGAGAATTCTGCAGATGCTGTGGCAGTTTGAACTCCTGGAGAGCCCTTCCTGGCCCAGCCTAGCTGGGACGTCGAACACTGTGGGAAGCAGAAGAGGATCAGCCGATGGCAGAGAACCTGGACAAAGAAAAGGATGCCAACCAACTGAGGATAGAGACGTTTCCCTTGGCTCCTCCCGGCAAAGGATTTTTCAGGTTTCCTGGTGAGGAGGGAGTGGAAGTTATGACATAATCACACTCTATATTCTTTGTAGTTTGTTGTAGGCATGGTAATGATTAAGTCATCCTTTCGGTGAACTGTATATACTAGATTCTTTTCTTGAGACAGAGTCTCACTCTATCACCCAGGCTGGAGTGCAGTGGTGCGGTCTGGGCTCACTGCAACCTCCAACACCATATCCAGCTAAAATAGTTATGTGTGTGTGTATGTGTGTGTGTGTGTGTGTGTGTGTATATATATATAGTATTTTTAATGGTAACAAAGTTTCACTGTGTTGGTCATGCTGGCCTTGAACCCCTGGCCTCAAGTGATCCACCCCCTTGGCCTCCCAAAGTGCTGGGATTACAAGTATGAGCCACCGCACCTGGCCTACTGCATATACTAGATTCTAAGTGTGGATTCTACTATCTTTCTAATTCATTTGTGGTCCTATGGAGTGTTAGAGAGTTGATGGCCGGGAGTTAAATGTTGCGTCCCATCAACAGCACCTGTGCCTGGGTATGGTTGTCGCATCTGGTGTGGCCCCTATTGTGTTTGTTCTTCTACTTAAGAAAAACAGTTTCTTCTCATTCCATTTAGATTCACCCAGGGTTTAATGAATGAGGAAGCCACAAGTATTATTTTCCTTCCTGATCCCCTTCCTGTGATTGGCTAGAGAAGGGGATGGCCCTTGGCAATGGTTGGGAGGGGAGGGGCGGCCGGCGGGCATCACTCATCTGTGGAAGGAGTTGGGGAGGAGGCCTTTCTTCACTCATGAATGAATGCTTCCCTTTACTGCTGTCAGCCGGGGCTGCCTGAGAAGCAGCGGCGTGGCGACATTCTCAGAAGGGATAGGGGTGGTGCCTCACCTAAGAGGTGGCCTCATCCATGACTGATGGAAAGATGTTGCAGACTGGGGCCACCTGTCCTGATTGTAATCCCCTAACACATAGGGTGAGGACAGAGTCCCCACACCCTGAAATTTCAGGGATGGGCCCTGTGCTAGTAGAAAGCAGGGGGTGGGGATCTGGGGACAAGAAAAGCAAAATCATTTGGTTAAAAAGCTTGCTTAACTGGGCACCAAACCCAGGCACTCTGGTTTCACAGTCCATGGTCTAATCACTGCACTGCACGGCCTTTGCAGCTACTTCTGACAGTGTCACAGGAGCCTCAGGTAGGAGGGAAGAGCAGTTACCACCTCCTCTGCACGGGGTGCCCCAACCCCAAGTTTTGTCTATTTAAGACATTGACTTCTGTGAGTGATTTTACTTGGATATAGAGAGGAGAAGAAAAGAAGGACTGAGTTAACAAAAATATGGTTTGAAGACAAAATGAAAGAAAACAAAAAATTGTGTGCCTGACATGACACAGTGGAGAAAGAAAGGGCTGAAAGTTATTTGGGATAACATCATGGAGTAACTGAAGGAAAAGAAAGAGTTTTGATTCAAATCTACAGACTCTTTTCTTCCTCCCTCCTCTACCCCAGAGCACCAAGGAAGACTCACAAGGCTCTGGATGACCTAGAAAAATCTCACCTGTCCTCTCCATGTCTCAGCTCCTCATCTGTATAAGGAAAAAAGTTGAGCCAGTTGATGAACCACAGGTGATGTCTCTGATATCCATTCAGTTTTAATCTCTTGTCCTTCAAGGGGAGAGGGTCAGGGGCAGGTGAATGTGGAGGAGGGCCTCAGAGCAGCCACACAAGCAGGACAGCTGCTCCCATTCAGGGCTGAGAAAGCCTAATGCATGGGTGCAGCTTTCCCAACTGTTTGTTCCAACATTAAAACACTACTTCCACCCCCAGGCCTCCCACCCAGTTCTCTCCCCGACCACCTGGCCTTCTCCAGACCTTTTAGCGTCCAGAAACTAGAGGACAATACCTGGCACAATGTGGTGCAGGGAAGTGGGCAACCAGGATCTGCTCCAGCCACAACCCTCTCAACAGTGTATTTGCTCAGTGCCTGCCTTTTCACTGCAGACCAGGGGGACATCCTGAAAGAGAAAACTAGAGTGGGCTAGTAAAGAAGGAAGGAAGGAAGGAAGGAAGGAAGGAAGGAAGGAAGGAACAAAGGAAGGAAGGAAGGGAGGGAAGGAGGGAGGGAGGGAAGGAGGGAGGAAGGGAGAGAGGGAGGGAAGGAAGGAGGGAGAGAGGGAGGGAGAGAAGGAACTATAAATCATCCTTGAAAAATGTCTAAAGGTTTTGATTTCTGCTTTTGGCAAAAATATGCTGTGGTCAGCTTTTGTTAAGTAATTCAGTGAAATTCTTCTTTGTGTATTTCAGGAAAACCCTATCTCCTTCATGGCCATCTCTGAGGTTTCTGCAACCAGGCAAGCTGTGGCAATTCTGTGGGTGATAATTTAGGGTCCCTTGTAGAATGGCTTCTGATGTGGCACATTATATAAATGGTGGTGCACACTCTTGCATCTGGCTTTCACCTCTCTAGAGAGTCAGCTCCCAAACTAATCTTCCTAGTGGGCTCTGAATAACCTGCAAGAGGGTCCTGGGTTGATCCTGTGAGGCTGACACTCCTGACTTTGTTCTCTGAAGGAGGGAAATGGACTCTTCATGGTGTAGCCATTTAATGCCCCTATCTGTGCTAGAGCCAAATCTCAGACTGAAGACAACTTAGTATGGTGTCAGGGTTCAGAAAAAAGGCTTTGGGGACAAGCTGGACCTTATTCAAACCTAGGGTGATCAACTTTCTTAGTTTTGCCATAATTGTCCTGTTTTTAGCACTGCAAGTCCTAAATCCCAGAAAATCCCTAAGTCCTGGGCAAACCCGGAAGCTTGATCACCCTATTCTAGCTCTTTCAGGCCTTAGCCAGTCATTTTCCTTCTTCGAGCCTTAGTTTCCTCATATGTGAAATGAGGGGAATGATAACAACATCAAATGGTATGCATTTGAAGGTTAATATGCATTCAAAGATTGTTCACCAAGAAAGTTAGAAGTTTACATGACAAAGTGGTCTTTCTGTTTCTGTTCTGAGAAGGAGTAGATGTCTCCTCTCCCCAGTGTGTTTTGACTGTTTCAAGTGGAGGTGTGAGGACAGCACTTGAGGATTCTGGAATACTCTTCAGGAAGCCTTGCAGGCCCTGGCAAATGCAAAGCACAAATTAAGGGTTCTCCCAGCTCTATGATTATGTGGTTAAGTGTAAATGGCAGAAGCAGCTACCTGCTTGCAGAAGTCACCTTTAGCAGCTACCACTTGCAAGTCACAAATAAGACATTATGAAATCTTTTCTTTTAGGCTTCTTTATTGCCCCTTGGCTATTGTCTGCAGAGATTCTTAACTAATAGCCATGTTCGGAATGACTGTTTTCCAGAAACCACTGTTTCATGGCTGAAAAATGAAAAGAAGTCAATGTTTTCTAAGGACTCCATTGCAAGGCAGTTGCAGGACAAGAGTGGATTTCACAGGCATCTTAATTCCTGGCAGTAATGGCTGAGGGCTGTCTTGGAGACCAGAAGTGGCAGGCAAGAACTCCCTTAACAAAAGAGAGGCAGGGGGATTATTTATTCAAATGCCCTGATAGAAGAAGGCCTAATCAAAGACACCACAGAAAACAAGCCACAGGCAGATAGGGAATATTTGGAACATGAGAGTGTCAAAAGGATCCAGGCTTTTGCTAAAGGAAAGGAAATGACTAGGGGAAATGGCCTTTTATAATTGAGCGGAGCTATGTCAGAGCTATGCGCCAAGGGTTGGGGATTATTCAAAGTGCAAACACCTTTATTATCCTGGTCCTCCCACCCCCATCACGAATGAAGTAAGAATCATTAGAATCAGTGCCAGATTCTGACTGAAAATAGAGGTCTTCAGAAGTTGGCAAATTCAACATGCAAGACTGGCACAAGTGATAATGAACTTGTTCTTGGCCACGGCAGTTGATGACACAATTTTGCATAATTAGAACACCTTTGGAAGTAGGGAGTAAAAAAGGACCCTCCAATCTGGAATTGACTAATTTACATAAACATTAGTGTGATTAGTGATTTCAACTCTTAAGGTACTTCCTTGTCATTTACATTCTAATTGATGATAGGGTAGAATGCCAAGGGGAGCAACACTGATGGTGTTTAGTGCCATACAAAATGGCCCACGAGGCTGTGGGGAAGTCTGCAAAGTAGGTGTTTCTAGGTTACCAAAGTCATCTTCTTTTCCTGTGCTTTCCACCCTTTCCTAGAGAAAATTAAATTCTAAAACAGCTAATTTAGAAGTCAAGAAATTTCATTATCAGAATAATGCATTAAGGCGTATCCGCTATCTCTTGCTGAGTAATAAATCACCCAAAAACATAGTGACTTAACAACAGTCGTTTTTAACCTCTCCCAGTTTATGTGGGTCCGGCATTCAGAGAGGGCTCAGTGGGGAGATTCTGGTTTGGAGTCCCCCAAGTGGTTGTCAGAAGAAAGGCTGGAGCCAGAACAGCAGAGGGGCTGAAGAAGCTGCAGTCTTGCTAGGCACCTCTGTCTTCACAGATGGTCTCTCCATGGGGTCTCTCTATAAGAGCTAGTTTGAGCCTCTTCACAACATGGCAGCCTTAGAGTAGTGAAATGCTCCAGTGCAAGTATTTCAGCTCCCAACACAGCAGCTGCATCAACCTTCGTGACCTGGCCTCAGAAGTTTCTGTTGGTTACAAGTGAGTTACAAGCCCCCTTAGGTCCAAGAGAAGGAGAATTTGATGTGACTTCTTAATAGAGAATGGTGATATTCTTGAGGGACAATGTGGGGTAAGAGATAGCACTGTGGCCATCTCTTGAAAATACAATATGGGCCGGGCACGGTGGCTCATGCCTTTAATCCCAGCACTCTGGGAGGCCAAGATGGGCAGATCACCTGAGGTCAGGAGTTCAAGACCAGCCTGACCAACATAGAGAAAGCCCGTCTCTACTAAAAATACAAAATTAGCTGGGTGTGGTGGCACATGCCTGTAATCCCAGCTACTAGGGAGGCTGAGGCAGGAGAAGTGCTTGAACCTGGGCAGTGGAGCTTGCAGTGAGCCGAGATCATGCCATTGCACTCCAGCCTGGGCAACAAGAGCAAAACTCCATCTCAAAAAAAAAAAGAAAATACAATATGCCGTCAGGTGTAAATAATTGACGATCATAATCTTTTAAGGAAATATTTATATTTTAAGAAAATAATATATTAACTCAAGCAAATCTTTAAACTAGTAGAATAGGTATAGAGGAACCTGTGGCAACTGCCTCCAGTCCCTTCTTCTCATTACCTCTGATTCTCTTTTTTTTTTTTTTTTTGAGATGGAGTTTCACCCTTGTTGCCCAGGTGCCCAGGCTGGAGTGCAATGGCACGATCTTGGCTCACCACAACCTCCGCCTCCCAGGTTCAAGAGATTGTCCTGTCTCAGCCTCCCGAGTAGCTGGGATTATAGGCATGTGCCACCACACCTGGATAATTTCGTATTTTTAGTGGACACAGGGCTTCTCCATGTTGCTCAGGCTGGTCTCGAACTCCCGACCTCAAATGATCTGCCTGCCTCAGCCTCTCAAGGTGCTGGGATTACAGGTGTGAGCCACTGTGCTCGGCCACCTCTGATTCTTTAGAACAATTGTATGTAATATAAGTCTCCTAGGGCTGCCATAACAAAGCACCACAGACTGAGTGACTTAAGCAATAGAAATTTATTGTCCCACAGCCCTGGAGGCTTGAAGTCTGAGATCAAGGTGCTGTCAGGGTTGCTTCTTTCTAGGGCTGTGAGAGAAGCCATGTCTCTCCCTTATCTTCTGTGGTTTACTTGTATCTTTGGCATTCCTTGTTCTGTAAAATCATCTCCCTGATCTCTGCCTTCATCTTCACAGGGTGTACTCCCGGAATGTGTACATCTGTGTCCAAACTTTCCCTTTTTATAAAGACACCAGTCATATCAGACAAGGGGCCCAGCCTAGTTCAGTATAATCTAAACTCGACTAATTACATCTGCAGTGGCCATATTTACAAGTAAGGTCACATTCTGAGGTACCAGTGTTTTAGGACTTCAACATAATGATTTTGAAGGGGACCCAATGTGACCCATAACATACCTCTTATTTTCTGAAGGAAGAAGCTTCTTTTGATATGGTTTCTGGGAGCATGAATTGAAATAGGTAAAATTTTCCAATTTTGTATCTGTCTTTTCCTTTTCATGACACTGGACATTCCCTCTAGCCTCCTAAATACCTTCTTTACATTTTAAGTAAAGGTTTTCATTAAGGTGATTAATGTCTTTAGAGTAGTTTAGGATTAAATGTTCCTTTAATTAAAATGTAATTATCAAATATTGGTTATGGGGCCTCATCCCTTCCCAAACTTTCCATAGTCCTAGTGCCCCTAGTTATATAACTTCGGGTTGCATGGGATTTTTTTTATGACTATCCCCTCATAATCTGGGATTCACCTATGCTGCAACCTAGTTTAGTAAAGAGGCTTAAAGAGCAATTTATTGACTTTAGGGATTTGAGATTGTTCTCTCTCAATTTATTTCCTTTGAATGTTTATAGAAAAAAAAAAAAAGCACAACCAACTGCTCACTGGGGAAGCCACAAATACTTGGCTTTCCTGCCCTGGCACTTATCTTGCACTTGATGTTTTCAAAATACAACTAATCATTAAATAGCCAGTTCCCGCTACATCTTTGTGAGATGTGAGAATTCTTGCCACTTTCAGTAAAGGAAATTGAAGTAGAAAGCACCAAGGTGACTTGTGCAAAGTGACAGAACAAATCAGAAGCAGACCCAGGTGGCTGCCATTTTATGAACTAAAAGTTTGTCCTGTGTAAACCCAGAGACAGGCACTCACGGCCTTCTCCCTTTCCTTGGAGGAGCAGCACACAGGCAGGAGTGAGCAGACGCCAAGCACACAAGAACATGGCCAGGGCCGGGCACGGTGGCTCAAGCCTGTAATCCCAGCACTTTGGGAGGCCGAGACGGGCGGATCACGAGGTCAGGATCGAGACCATCCTGGCTAACACGGTGAAACCCCGTCTCTACTAAAAAATACAAAAAAACTAGCCGGGCGAGGTGGCGGGCGCCTGTAGTCCCAGCTACTTGGGAGGCTGAGGCAGGAGAATGGCGTAAACCCAGGAGGCGGAGCTTGCTGTGAGCTGAGATCCGGCCACTGCACTCCAGCCTGGGCGACAGAGCGAGACTCCGTCTCAAAAAAAAAAAAAAAAAAAAGAAAGAAAAAAAGAAGAACCATGGCCAGCAGATACCCACTGGGAGCAGCCATGTTGTTAGTGCTTATAAAGCTCCCTGGAGATCTCAGAAACCTTAAGGTGAACTTTTGGGACATGATACCCTGAGTCAGATGGGACTCCAAAGCAATCTCTTTGGTACTGCAGGGTGGTAAGATCTGGGAAATCTGGGTCACATGAACAATAATGAAAAAGATGTGGAAGGTATTCCTTCCGTCCTAAACTGTAATCCTCTTGATCATAGGCTCTATTAGAAACAAGCTCCCTGAAATCCTTTGGTCTACTCTTAAGCCAGTAGGCATTAATAGCAAACTTTAAGGACTTCCCTTAACTCTAGGAAGACACTACAAGAAAGAATCATAGGCTTTAATGTGGCTGCCTCCGCAGAAATGCTGGGGAAAAAAAAAAAAAGCACAACCAACTGCTCACTGGGGAAGCCACAAATACTTGGCTTTCCTGCCCTGGCACTTATCTTGCACTTGATGTTTTCAAAATACAACTAATCATTAAATAGCCAGTTCCCGCTACATCTTTGTGAGATGTGAGAATTCTTGCCACTTTCAGTAAAGGAAATTGAAGTAGAAAGCACCAAGGTGACTTGTGCAAAGTGACAGAACAAATCAGAAGCAGACCCAGGTGGCTGCCATTTTATGAACTAAAAGTTTGTCCTGTGTAAACCCAGAGACAGGCACTCACGGCCTTCTCCCTTTCCTTGGAGGAGCAGCACACAGGCAGGAGTGAGCAGACGCCAAGCACACAAGAACATGGCCAGGGCCGGGCACGGTGGCTCAAGCCTGTAATCCCAGCACTTTGGGAGGCCGAGACGGGCGGATCACGAGGTCAGGATCGAGACCATCCTGGCTAACACGGTGAAACCCCGTCTCTACTAAAAAATACAAAAAAACTAGCCGGGCGAGGTGGCGGGCGCCTGTAGTCCCAGCTACTTGGGAGGCTGAGGCAGGAGAATGGCGTAAACCCAGGAGGCGGAGCTTGCTGTGAGCTGAGATCCGGCCACTGCACTCCAGCCTGGGCGACAGAGCGAGACTCCGTCTCAAAAAAAAAAAAAAAAAAAAAGAAAGAAAAAAAGAAGAACCATGGCCAGCAGATACCCACTGGGAGCAGCCATGTTGTTAGTGCTTATAAAGCTCCCTGGAGATCTCAGAAACCTTAAGGTGAACTTTTGGGACATGATACCCTGAGTCAGATGGGACTCCAAAGCAATCTCTTTGGTACTGCAGGGTGGTAAGATCTGGGAAATCTGGGTCACATGAACAATAATGAAAAAGATGTGGAAGGTATTCCTTCCGTCCTAAACTGTAATCCTCTTGATCATAGGCTCTATTAGAAACAAGCTCCCTGAAATCCTTTGGTCTACTCTTAAGCCAGTAGGCATTAATAGCAAACTTTACGGACTTCCCTTAACTCTAGGAAGACACTACAAGAAAGAATCATAGGCTTTAATGTGGCTGCCTCCGCAGAAATGCTGGGAGGCACCAGATCACCTTTCATATTTGCAAAGTTCTCATTTTTTTTCCTCTGGTGAAAAAAAATTGCATAGAATTGGCTGGTCCTATACTTAAGTGAGGGGAGTTCAATGGGATGGAAATTATCTTATTTAAGGTGCTCACCCAGACCAGCATTTTACACTTAGGCAGGTAATTGAAGCAAAACACATCCTTAAAATCACATTCTCCTCTCCTGATACCAAGCTTCTCTTTCCCTAATTTTTTCTTTACTCATTTACTTTTTTATTTATTTGTTTTTTATTTTTTTCAGATGGAGTCTTGCTCTGTCACCCAGGCGGTTGTGCAATCTTGAATCACTGCAAACTCTGCCTCCCGAATTCAAGCGATTCTCCTGCCTCAGCCTCCCGAGTAGCTGGAATTCCAGGCGTGCCACCATGCCCGGTTAATTTTTATATGTTTAGTAGAGACAGGGTTTCACCATGTTGGCCAGGCTGGTCTTGAACTCCTGACCTCAAGTGATCTGCCCACCTCGGCCTCCCAAAGTCCTGGGACTACAGGCGTGAGGCACCGCGCCCGGCCTACTCATTTGCTTTAAAGCTGGCATTGGTCTTTCACTCAGCAGAGGCATAGCTGGTGAGGTGTGTTTTGCTTTGGTAATATGATTCTCATGTGGAGTAAAAGACAAAGTGGACCTCTTTTGGGGCAAGAATATAGTAAGTTGAAGTTTGTCTTTTTCACATCAAAATGCCATCTTGGTCCTGCATCCCTAAATCCTAGGCATGAAGATTGAAGCATTTAGGTTTATTTGCATAGTCAAAACTAAGAAACTCATCCTATTTCTCATTTAGTCTTGGCCATTGGGAATCTCAGAGTCAAATTTAGTGCTCAGTTTCTCTATGCATTCTTAGTTTAAGTTTTCAAGCATAAAACTGTCTTAGTTCAGGCTGCAATGACAGAATGCCACCAACTGAGTGGCATAAGCAATGAACATTTATTTCTCAGTTCTGGAAGCTAGAAAGTGTAAGATCAAATTATTAGGAAATTTAGTGTGTGGCGAGGGCCATTTCCTGGCTCCTAGAGAGCTGTCCTCTTATTGTGTCTTCATATGGCAGAATGAGGGCTAGAGAACTCCCCAGGTCTCTTTTATAAGGACGCTAATCCTATTCAGAGCAT